CGTCTGGTATCAATCCTATGATCTTTTCGATCACTGAAGTGAAGACTATGCTATTCAAGATCCTGTAGCTTCACGCAATGACCGATAAAAGGCACATTTCATGGTCAACGTGAAACGTTGCTTCTGCCACAGCAATGTCCTCTGGTGTAGGTTTCTGGTATCGGCGTGTGCCGATATCCTGACCCAAATTAACGTTCTAAATTTGCAGTTTCTGTGAAGAAAACCACCAATCGTCCACGAGAAAAAAATCCTTTCCATCAAAGTAGGAAATCAGTCCATATGGAAGTCACGTGAGCACCACTTGCCAACAAAGGCACGCATTATATCTGAAGGAGCGAAATTCAATCGGTGGCAAATCGAACGAGGTCTTGTGCAAATTCACCGTCGATTCTTCGTTTATTGAGGCATTCAATGAGATTGTCGTAAAATTCTTGAAAACTTACAATCTGTGCGTTGGGGGGGGGTCATTTATATCACGACACCTCGGCACCTCTTCAGGTTGCCTCGCTCTTCAACGAAACTTCCAATGCGACGTGCGCCGACACTCTTGTCACTGTAGACACTGTTGAGCGCAAACACCATGTAAAATCCAACAGCGATTCCAATTTAAATTTATAAACAAATACCGTATTTGAATTTACTGTTGAATGGACAAGGTCTTTCACACAGTATGCAATCGATTTACTGAACAGAGGGATGATTAAGTAGGTAACACTCATTTCAGCAAGTTTTGAAATCGTTCTGTTAATTTAAAAGATTATAAAATTAAAAAGTATACGATCTATGAGGTGTTTTTTCACCTATATATTTCCATCACTGATTCTGCCTGTAGTGTTCGTTTTTATTCGAACTCGTGATGTTCTCCCAGTTTTACTTTATGACGTCATCAGCTAAAATCCAGTTATGTTGAAGGCCATACCCTCGGCTATCTGACAGACACATCCTGTAGCCTTATACTCACCATCTTAAGCGGATGGTCGAGGTTAGTAACATAATGCCAATGAAATCTATACTCCATAAGAGTAAAATAGTACTAAATGGTGATTAAAATCAACATGATAAGAATGAAGGACGACTGATTCCATTTGGGGTTTGGACTCGTCTGCAAGCGGGTCAACTGCCATCGAAGAGAACACAATAACTGAAGGTTGCCTACAGCAACTCAAGCTATTGATACCCATAAATATGGAGATTTGCAGCCCTTACGAACCCTTCGGCACTGCAACGCGCGCGTGTGTCAAGAATCATTTTGTTCAGTTGTGTTTAAAGCTGCATCCAGTGAGGATACCAAAGTATCCAGGAAGGAGATTTAGCCAGTTGCTTAAAGACAT